ACACGGGATGCGGGTAATCGCGGTACGAATCGAGGAATTCACTTTAGACGGGTAATCCTCCGGTGGTCGTTGCGCTGGAACCCCCATCCCCTATACTACTGATGCCGTCAATATTGGTTAAATAATTTTAATTTTTCTATTCTTAGTAGAGCAGAATGGACTGAAGAAATATTGAACGATTAAACCTACCACCCTCATGCTCTAATAGTATTCATTCAATTCAATGTGGTTTTATCTTTTACAGACCACGAGAGGAAAGAACAAGAAGTGGAAGAAAGAACAATAGGAATCACAAAGAGAGGGAAATGGTGGTCAGGAGAAAGGCGGAAGTGGAGCAAAAAAGGAAAAGGAAAGACGATAAATAAAGGCAAAAAATAGAAGAGGAAGAGAAGAGAAAGAAAGAAAAGAAAAAAGAGGAAGGATAAGAGGAAGAAAAGATGAAGAAAGAAGAGGAAGAAAAGAGAATCAGGGAGATGGAAGAGAAGCTAAATAATATGAAAAAGAATAACACATTAATAAGTAGAAGAAAGATACGAAGGATGGCAGGAAAACTGAAAAGAATGAGAAAATAAATAATAAAGAAATAATGTAAATTAACTTCCGTTTCTATATATTGCCTGCATTCAGTCTATATTATTACTTTACGCTTGTCAAGTTTTTCACCATGGCTTACCTGAGTATATGCGATGCTAGCATAGCCTTAGAAAGAGAGAAAAAGCAAGCTATGCGCAATATCTATAGTTATGACACTGAGGCTATTGCAACCTCCAATATCAATATAATAGTCTTTCACAAAGAAGATCAGAATTGTGTCATTAGTTTTTTAAATTCGGCAGATCATTTCAAATCCGATAACTTATTGCCTTTTACTTTTATTGCCTTTCCATTTCATTCGACCAGCGGTTAACTTGCGCAAGCAAAAGGGTCTTCTCACTGCCACTATTCAAGACAAATATATTTTCCAATAGCTGTTATCGTAGTTGAGCACGCCACCCCAACAAGCCAGCGGCATTATGATGAGCGTAGCATCAAAACGAGACTATCGGGACGAGCTTAGGATAATTTGCTTAGAAATCTACTACAAGTCTTACTAGAGGGATCACTACATTTTGATAGATATATTCGTTATACAAAGTATCTTGTCGTCTTTCTAACGAGGATCAAACACTATATATCTTTTGGATGTATAAACAGCAGTTTGAAGGCAGAAAGCAAGGAATTATTGTAACGCCTTTGCTACCACTGATAAGTGTAAAACGTACTCGCTCAATGGCATGGCTCATCAATCAAAATATACGTCCAGAAAATACTGAGTTGCCAAGACGTCTTACATTTATAGTTGATATTTAAACCACTGTGATGACAGATAATTGATCATGAAGCCGAGATCTTTGCAGTCCAAGATTTTTTTATCCTGTCCAAACTACGTATGCGAGGAGGCTCTTGTTAAAACACTGCATACGTGGGCTCTAATAGGCTATTCCTACGGTAAGTCACTTTCGCTCTGTAGTTCTCAAGTATGTTAAAAAGGCTTTGATGCTACGCTCATAGAAATGCCGCTGGTTTGTCGGAGTGACGTGCTCAACTGCGATAAAGGCTATTCTTTTATTGCTATTTAAATTTACAAATTCATATTTAAATGTTAGAACTGGCAGGGCCGTTATAAACCTGATTAAAACACATTATGTTCGAATAAAAATGAATATATAAGCAAAACACGGTAGTTATCTCTCGATAACTCGAACTCCCGATAACTCTAACCTTTTTCCATATCCCTTGGAGGTTCGAGTTACCCGGATTCAACTGTAGTATCTAGAGCACAGTTTACGATATTAAGCCCCTCTCTTGACGTTGGCATACTGTCTTCAGCTGGTGGAAGCTTTTTTTGGACTCACTGCACATGGCAGCCTCACTGATGACATTGATGTACAAACGTCTACAATCTCGTACCCAGAGCCTTTATTACTTACTGCGCATGCTCGACGAAATAAATAGCCTCTGTTTGGTTCTCCAGAAAACAAAGGATGACACCGGAAGTAAAAATTACTTTCGATACAAAATGGTGATTCCGAGCACAAAAACTTGATTGTATGAAGAAATATTATTATGTGAACTACAGAATCAGACGATAAAGATATGTAAGTTTACGAAGGATCGAGCAGGAAACAAGCGAGTTATGAGCGTTTCTAGAAATGGTAGAATCGGGAACGTAATCCTACACGAGTGGCGAGCAATTGTACACTTACAGAATCGTTTTAGCCCAACAATATAAGTAATGGCTCCGTATTGTTTCTCTATGAGCTTAAACCTATCTTCAAAGCTCATTTTATTGAGAGCAACGGGCATTCATAACGGCCTTCGGTCTACACCTCGTGGATCCACACTAAAATGACAATGTGATGACGCAATTTATTGTCAATAAGAGGACAGACACAAAAAACTGATGTCTATTTGTTAATTTGACCACAGAACTTCAACCTTTCGCGGGGAAGAGTCATTTAACTGCACCTAGTTACCATTTATACATTTATTGTTTTGTAAAGAAAGCATTCAATAATAAAAAGTTAGAAAAATAACAAACAAATGTGCCTACCCGCTCACTTTTTTATAATTTTTTGGCCTAATGCACTAAATAGATATAAGGCGACCGAAAAACACAAACACACATATATTGATGGGTTGCAAGCATTCCTAAGAGCGTCAAAAGACAAAACCATGGCGGCCATTGTGGTGCCGTTAACAACGGATGCTAATGAAAAATATTTTGTTAAATGGTACCAACATGGCCTCGATGACGTAACGTGCAAACGAAGAATACATAGAAAACAACTAAAACGGAAGAAAATCATAACGCTCTCAGAAAACGTTTAAAATCTTGAACGTCCACGCCCACTTGGTTGGTAGTTTATTGAAAGGTATGATTGGTATGTCAATTATTATGCCTTTTCCAGACTGAGGTGTCGTCCACTTAAAATATCCTGGGTATCCCAACATAGTTATTTCTGTTTCTTCTGTAGTGATTGGCTGTCCAAGTTCCAGTTTTTCTGAATCAGGCCATTCAAGTACGATAGCATAAGTAACCGATTCTTTACTGGTATACCTAAATTACAGCAAAAGAACTTTAATTTCCCTTTACAATAGGGGACGTGCACTAAGAGGTCACGTGATCAAATCCGCCATTGTGGCTGGCATTCTACAGGATTTTAGCTATGCGAGAATGTAAAAAAAGATGGCGGATTCGGGTAGTTGTTTTGGTGATAAAAGGTAAGTTAGCGCACTAAATAACGACAAAAATCCCCTTTTCTTGCAAGAAATATATTCTTAGTAGATATCTAAAGTAGATTTTTGCTATTAACTCGCCAAAAAGAGAAAAAATATGGTATTTTTTGCGCTACGATATGAAGACCTACGAAGTGTTTAGTCTTGTTTTGCCGGCTTCAAGACCTCAAAACAACGACTTCTTGTCGAAAAACATCAAGTATTTTACAACTTTAATCTTGAATAATGCATTTTTCTTGCAAGAAATATACTTTTAATAGATACCTTAACTAGATTTTTGCTATTCATTGGCCGATTTGATCACATGACCTCTTAGTGCAAGTTGCCTATTAAACTATTTGGGCACCAGTGTTAACAAAGAAGCTGGGAATCATTTTGAAATATTTACTAACAAGTGAATGGGATGATGAACCATTCATGAGATAATGTTCATTACGAAGTGCTACTTCTACGATTGGGCGAACATCTTGGAACGCAAGGCATAATGGGGCGTCCAGGCGGCAAATAGAGTTTTGCAAACGGTAATGACGTCAATAGGCCCTTTGCAGTTAACGGTCACGTGTCTGTGCTGGAGAGCAAAATTTTTGTTTTTATTTTAAATTGATGATTCTTTTTAGCTACTTGTAAAGAACTGAATGAAACGATGTGTAACCAGTGTCTCACGAAATGTAGTTTGATTACGATCTCTCGAAACAGGTTGCCCTCCAGTAAAGTACAGTGAATTAATCAACACGTATTTGCTTAGCTGCAAAGGGCCTATTGCTATTAACAGTTCACCACAAGAGAATACAAACAAAAGATGAATTAATCGACATAGCGATCACATGTCATTTTTGTTTCGTTTTGCCCCCTGGCAAGATGGCCGCCTTATCGTCGAAATAGTCCATTTAATCTGAGGGGGAGGGAGGGGTTATTGAAGGGGGCTATTTTTCGAAGCTTAAAAGTTTGTAATTTGGGGGGCATTTAAATGTTAAGTCCCGATAGCTCCCCTATCGATTGAATTATGAACGCTACTTTAGCTAAACAAAATAGTCTAACACAACGTAGATATTCAAACTTTAGATTCAATAAAAAAAGCTGTGCTTGAGGGTAATATATGAAAACCAGAGGCTTTAAAGGTACTGTAGTTTAAAGTAACCCACCAGATATGCTTGGTTAGTGTATCGTTTTGTGCCCTCCATGGCTTAGTTCCATATATTGCTTCTCCATTTACGTTCAGCCATTCWCCAATCTGCAGTAATCGTTCTTGGAAAGCAGGGATAATACGACCATCAGCAGTTGGGCCCACATTTAGTAACAGGTTACCACCACAACTGCAAACAAGGATACCATGGAAACTGTTATTGTTTATTGTTTTGTACGCTTTTGACCATTTTCTTCTCTCTCTCTCTCTCTCTCTCTCTCTCTCTCTCTCTCTCGTATTCTTTTAAAGTAAATTTCACCAAGATCAAAATAGGTGTAGCATATGCAGACTCTCAGCTAATGAATATAGAGAATGCAGCTATCCAAAAAGTATCTAATATCTATATGTATATATATGTGTTTGCGTATATGTATGTATATGTATATGTATATGCGTGTGTGTGTGTG